TTGCAGCCACCTGGGGAGTGAATGAGAGGTTGGAAGCTCTCTCTGTTTCTCCCTCTCTAATTCTTTCAAATAAATAAAATAAATCTTTAAACAAAACAAAACAAAGCTGCAAATTGTACCATCCTGGGCACTGCTGGAAAAAAATGAGAGAGAGAAAGATAAGTAGGTATGATGTCTACCCTAGAATTTTTTCCTTATAAATCAATTTAAAGTTGGACAATGACCAGAGTGAACAGTTTTAGTTTAAAGAGTCTTACTTTTTTTTTTTTTTTTTTTGGCTTGAGGGATCAAGCTTATGTCACCCTCACCTGGACCCTGCTTTGAGGTTGAATGAGCCACTTCCCCTCTTTTTTAAGATTTATTTATTTGAAAGTCAGTTACAGAGAGAGAGGAAGAGACAGAAAGGGAGAGAGATCTTCCATCTGCTGGCTCACTCCCCAGATGGCCACAATGGCCAGTGGTGGGCCTGGCCAAAGTCAGGAGCCAGGAGCTTTCTCCGTGTCTCCCTTGTGGGCCGGGCTCTGCTGCTTTCCCAGGTGAATCAGCATGGGGCTGGATCTGAAGCGGAGCAGCTAGGACTTGAAACGGCGCCCATATGAGATGCTGGTGTTGCAGACAGAGGTTTCTTTTCTTTTTAAAAAGACTTTATTTATTTGAAAGACAGAGTTATAGACAGGCAGAAGCAGAGAGAGAGAGGTCTTCCATCTGCTGGTTCACTCCCCTATTAGCTGCAACAGCCAGAGATGGGCTGATCCAAAGCTAGGAGCCAGGAGCTTCTTCCAGGTCTCCCACCCCGGTGCAGGGGCCCAAGGCCTTAGGCCATCTTCTACTGCTTTCCCAGGCCATAGCAGAGCTGGATCAGAAGTAGAGCAGGGGCTAGTGCTGTGGCGTAGTGCGTAAAGCCACCGCCTGCAATGCCAGCATCCCATATGGGCGGTGGTTCTAGTCCCGGCTGTTCCACTTCTGATCCAGCTCTCTGCTATGGCCTGGGAAAGCAGTGGAAGATAGCCCAAGTCTTTGGGCCCCTGCACCCATGTGGAAGACCCAGAAGAAGCTCCTGGCTCCAGATTGGCACAGCTCCAGCCGTTGCAGCCAACTGGGGAGTGAACCAGCGGATGGGAGACCTCTCTCTCTCTCTCTGCCTCTCCTTCTCTCTCTGTGTAACTCTGACCTGCAAATAAATAAGTAAATCTTAAAAAAAAAAAAAAAAAGGAAGTGGAGCAGCCAGGACTCTAAGCGGCACCCATATAGGATACCAACACTGAAGATGGTGGCTTTACCTGCTACACCATAGCACTGGCCCCGCAGGTGGAGGTTTTACCCACTACAGCACAATGCCGGCCCCAGAGTAGTCTATTTCTAACAGCAAACAGGAAAAAAATTATAAGAAGCTGGAAAACACAATCGTTGACTGAAAATAAAAATTTAGCATTAACTTTCATTCTTGCATCTTCAATTTTTATGTATGATTTTTTTAATTGATGGTTTGCTCTGCCAGAACGAGAAAGAACATTACATTTTTATGACTGAATCCCATGGCAATGGAAAATAAATGGGCCCAAATGCCACATGATTGAGGACTTCATGATCATTCTTTTGAATTATCAAGCGTAAATCTTGTGCTTCTTCAAAGCAGTTCCTTCCCACAACGTCGTTTCCTACTTCTCTGACTCTGACGTCCCACAGATGAGGCTGTACATCTCACTTAGCTGCTGCTTTTGTCACAAATGTCGAAGGGCAAGGGAGAAGACAGCTATACATCTGGGGTTGTCTCTGAAAACATAAGCTGCATTTTCCTTTATCTTATTAACTTGATTCCAAATATGAAAAACAATTTTCATGAAGCACAAAGGAAAATTTATTTGAAACTTACCCTCCTTTACTGAGGACAAGGAGCAACTTTTCCATTTACTTTCTGAATTTACTCACCCCTAACCATCACCATATTTAAAAAAAAAGTTAAATATCAAAGAACCAATTGAGTTGATTATTCAATTCATTCAACAAAAGTGTGCTGAGTGGCTCCTATGTCCCAGGTAAAATTCTGACTACTAAGGAAACAGAAATAAACAAACTAAAGCCTCTGCTCTTGTGGAATACATGTCTCTCTGGAGTGCACTTTAAAAAGGATAAATAGATTGTCTAGAAGGTCAGATATTAACAGGTGTTACAGAGAAAAATAAAGCAGGAAAGGGCAATAAAGAATGAATTGCATTTTAAATAAGGTCATCTGGAAATGCCTCTAAAATGCAGTAATTCAACCAGGATTTTCAAGCCATGCAATCACCAGAAGAAAAACATTCCAGGCAGAGAAGAGCACACGTGACAGCCAGAGAGACTATCTGAGAGCCATCACAAGGTCAGAGCCGCCATGTCTGAGTGACCAGAGCAGAGATCTGAAGGTACGGGTTTACAGTTATTTTGTAGATTTAAGAGAAACTGTAAAGACCATCCAACGAATGCTTGTGGTTCTTAACCTTTGTTGTACCTCAGGTTCCTTCTCCGAATAATGTTGTAATATGTATAAAACAAAAAATACAAAGTGAAGGGACAGGCCTTGGCCTAGCAGTTAAGCTCTCAATTGGGACGTTCACATCCCACATGGGAATGCGTGGTTTGGAGTCCTGGCTCCACTCCAGATTTCAGCTTCCTGATAATGTGCACCCCAGGAGGCAGCAGGTGAAGCTCAAGTAGTTGGGTCCCTGCCACCTGTGGATGATCTAGACAGAGTTCTTGACTCCTGGCTTTGGCCTGGCCCAGCCCTGGCTGCTGTGGGCTTCTGTGGAGTGAATCAGCAGCACATGGGAGATCTTTCAGTTTCTCTGCCTTTCAAATAAATAAAAAATGATTATTTTTAAAAAGTACAAAAATTACACAAAAAACTAATCATACTGATAAACAGTCCTCTCCATAGGCCTCCAAGGGTCCTGGAGGGTCTACAAGCTAAAGGCTCCTGGGAATTTTCTGGAGTTATGGAAATATTTTACATCTTGATTGGGGATTTGGTTACAGACACATATTTACTTAGCGATCAAAAATCCTTGACTTGGGACAGGCGATGTGGCAGAGTAGGTTACACAGAGGCATGGGATGCCCACTGCCCCTATCAGAGTGCCTGGGATAGAGTCCTGTCTGCATTTCCAATCCCGCCTCCTGCTAATGAATCCTGGAGGCCGCAGAGCGTGGCTCAAGTTCTTGGGCCTCTGCCACCCACATGGGAGACCCAGATGGAGTCCGGGCCCCTGGCTTCAGCCTGAACTAGCCCTGACTGTCATGGCTACTTGGGAAGTGAACTAGTTGATGGAAGATCTCTTTCTATCACTCTGCCTTTCAAGTAGATGAAAATAATAAATGTAAAAAAAAAAAAAAAAAAAAAAAAAAAAGCTCATTGACTTGCATCCTTTAGATCCCTGCATTTATAGGTTAAGCCTAAGCTTGCAAAGCCAGGAAGCTAATATCCCATATGGGCACTGGTTCTAGTCTGGGCTGCTCCAGTTTCAATTCAGCTCCCTGCTAACATGCCTGGGTAAGCAGTAGAGGGCAGCGCAAGTGCTTAGGCCCCTGCATGCATGTGGGAGACCCAGATGGAGCTGCAGGCTCCTAGCTTTGGCCTAGCCCAGCCCTGGTCATTGAAGCCATTTGGGGAGTGAACCAGTGGATGGAAAATCTCTGTCTCTTCCTTTCTCTATAATTCTGCCTTTCAAATAAATAAATCATTTAAAAAATAAATAAAAAGGAAATGACAAAAGATCTCTGCATTCCTCTCTCTCTTTTTTTTTTTTTTAATTTGAAAGTCAGAGTTAGAGAAAGTGACAGAGATCTTCTATCCACTGGTTCACTCCTTAGATGGCTGCAATGACGGGCTAGGCCAAGCCAAAGTCAGGAGTCAGGAGCTTCTTCCAGGTCTCCTTGTAAATAGCAGGGGCAAAAGAATTCGGGCCATCTTCTGCTGCTTTTTCTAGGCCATTAGCAGGGAGCTGGATCAGAAGTGAAGAGCTGGGACATGAACTGGCACCCATATGGGATGCTGGTGTGGCAGATAGCAGCTTTAACCACTACGCCACAATGGTCCTCTTTCAGTTGTTTGTTTTTTGAGTTTTTTTTTTTTTTTTAGATTTATTTATTTGAAAGGCAGAGTTACAGAGAGAAAGGGAGAAACAGAGAAAGATCTTCCATCTGCTAGTTCACTCCCCAAGTGGCTACAACAGCCAGGAGTTAGGCCAGGCCAAAGCCAGGAGCTTCATCTGGGTCTCCAACTTGGGTGCAGGGTCCAAGTACTTGGGCCATCTTCCACTGCTTTCCCAGGCGCATTAGCAGGGAGCTGGACTGGAAGCTGTGCTGATATGGGATGCAGGCATTTGCAGGCAATGGTTTTTCCCAGTAGGCCACAACGCCAAGCCCCCAAGATCTCTGCATTTCACTGCATGTACAAATCATACCTCAATTTTTAAAAAGCCAACTTGAATAGCCAAGTCCCCTCTTCATTTTATAGATGTAGAGGAAAAAGGCTCAAACAGTAAGACTTAGTGAAGACTTTAATGATTTACGGTATTCTTAAAATGTACAGGGCAGTTTTAGTCAGAAGTTCTCTAAAAATCTGATCTCTTCGCAGATGCCAATCATTTGTGACTTTATTTTGCCCTCATTAACTCCATCCACTCCAAGTGGTCAAGCTGACTCTGGAGCTGGAAGCCAGACTTACCACTTAACTCAAACTAGATTCCTGCCCCAATGCAGAACCAACCAAGACAGTCTGTGCACCAGGAAACGCAAGGGATGTCTATCGAGGGGGTACAGAGGGAGTGAGAAAGGCACAATGGAGGAAAAGGAGTACTTTTCTATGTCTTTAAAGGTCTTTAGTTAAGAAAAGCAGCAACGTTAGTAGCCTAATCCTAACAGATCATATTTTGTCTCCCTATATGTAAAGTCAGTTCTACTCATTTGCATTGGTGATAATCAAAGGAAGTATCCTAAATTAATATATTTTTCTGTTGACTTACCAGATTGGACACTCTAAGATTTTCTGCATAGCATTAAGGACATTTTGTACTTCTTCAACACGAACTCCAGACAAATCCATTTCTTTCTGTCCAATGAACTTTAACACATAAATTAAAAATCACGTGGATAAGTAAACCACTTAAAAAGGGTATAAAAACGACAACTTAATTTTAAGTATAATTTCAAAATAAGAGAAATTTGGAGTTTTAGAATTACACCAACCCATAGAGCTAATGACAAAAGGCATTATTTTTTAAAATTCTGCACGAAGCCTTGTGTAATTAGACGGTTTGAATTCTCTACAGTTTACATATAGGTTTCCAATGGGGTGAGTGGTGACAGCCTCAGCTTTCTCCAGCCATCCAGGCTGGCTTTTTTCTTTCTTTTTCATTTTCTTGATTAAAACCAAAGGCACTGCCACCAATCACAGCAAAACCTACACCAGGAACACTCGCCACCCCTGCCTTTCCCCAGAGCGTCCCACAGACCTGCTCCAGCACCAACGCACCCGGAGCATACATCTCTCCCGTCCCCTCCCCAAAGTGCCTACGGATCCAATTCCAGAGGGTTCTGTCTCACACAAAATCCTGTCTCCTCCTCTTCCCCGACAATCCTGGGCCTTCTTCCAGGTCCCTGCCTCTGGCATTCTTACGCTCAAGGTGTCCCCTGCACATCCGGTCACCCGGATTCCCTCGGACACACCGTGGCCTGTCCTTATCCTCGGTGCCCGCCTGGTGACTCAAACTGCCCCCCTCCCCAGGATTCATCTCAGAGCCACACAGCCCGTAGGCCCTTCAGATTTCACCCCCACACCCTCCGGCCCGAGGAATGCCCATCTCGCTCTCCTTCGGGAGACCACTCTTCTCACAGCTGTTTGTTTCTCAACTGACCACCTCCTGGCTCCCTCTTCATTTCCTAGGGACTCTCTCACCTTTAACCAGATCGGAGTCCGGGCTTTCCGGGCCCTAGGGCCCAGTTATCTGAGAAACCGCCCCCCGACTGTAATCGGTCCAGAAAGCCGCAGAAAACTCACGACGCGCAGTCTCAGTTTCAATTTATCTGTAATTCCCGCGCTTTCGGTCGCCATGGAAACCCGCCGCTCCCGCGGAGCTATAGCCTCTCAGCTTGCGAGATTAAAGGACGTCAGCGGAAGGGCGGAGCAGGAGCCTCCCAGCTCCGGATTGGCCATCCTCTCTTGCCCCACCCCACCCCCGCATGACGTAATTAGAAAGCGACGGGAGAAAGACTTCTGAGTTTTCTATTAGGTGGCCGCCCCCTCGCCTCTACGCTTCTGGTTACAGCTTATTACGTCACAGTAATTGCTGGACAAGGGTTGGAATCACTACCTGAGGCCTGAATATGAGCGCAAGGTAGTGCTCACAGCAGTCGCAAGAAGAGAGCCCATCCCCTCACCCTTTCCGCCGCAATGGACGTGCCCCGTTTAGGTAAATAAAAAGATTGTCGGGGGAAAGAAACTACGATCTCCAGCATGCATTGCGTAACGAAAGGCCTTCGCCACAGTGTTCCTTGGAAACTGTAGTCTTATGGAGAAGAGCTCCCGACTCTGGAAACGGGCACGATCCTCGCGACACGTAGTTGAAAGACTGGAGCCATCCGCGCGGTTATGCACGTCGACAGCTATGGACTGGAGTGCTGTTAGGTGTTTATATCTTAAGAGCGGACGCTAAAGAACCTGTAAGTTCCAGGAAGACTACAATTCCCGTCAGGCCTCGCGTGTCCACTAAGGTCAGCGACCTGAGGGAAGGCGGAGGACGCGGAGTTTGCTTGGGGAGGGGTAACCCGCCCCAGCCTCGGACTGCGCATTCGTAGTTCCGCCCCTCGGCCCCGGTGTTTGTTGTTGTTGTGAGGGTCAGGTTGTGTCTTCCCCGCCCCCGCCAGGGCAGTCTCAACCAATCAATGGGGGGGTGGTCGTTTTGAGGGACAAGGGTAAGAGCCAATCATCTTGTCGGAAACTCGGAGGAAACAGGGGACTAGGCCCTGTCTCTCTCCGCCATGTTAGATTCTGCCCGCAGGGAGAGCAGCAGAGCTGGCAGCGAACGGTCTTTGCACTGGCCTCCGGCAGGCGCCCCCCGGGGGCGGGAAGCTGGTAAGCAAGCTGCTGCGGTTACCTAGGAGTGGGGTCACGTCACACTGAATGGGTTTGGGGAAGTTCAGGGGAGGAACCCTGCAAATAGGGGCGACTTTTTCCGTGTCTAGGGGCAGCCAGTCTTTTCAGTGACAAGACGAGAGCCGTTCGCGCTCGGAGGGACCGAGGGAGCCGATGCCGCCGGCGGGATGGAGGGGCCGTGGCTCAGAACGCCTGGCTTGTACCGACGGGAGGTCGGGATCTCCCAGTACAAAGAGGGCCTAGGCAGAGGAGTAACTCCTTAGGGGGCGATGACAGTGTGTTGGGGACATGGAGTGCGAGGCAGACGGGGAGCTGGAAGAGCAGGATGAAGACGCTCCCCACACATCCCCCTCATCACATCGTCCCCTTTCTGAGACCCGCGTCCAGAGACCTTAGGGAACTTCGGTATTGGAAAAGCACTGTTTATCTCTTTTGTCAAACACCTAGCTTTCATATCACACTAAAAGCCCGGATAGGACAGTAATCAAAGCTCGCAGTCCCAGGTCTGCTTAATTAAAAGGATTTTTTTTGAGGCTAAAAAAAAAAAAAGAAGAAGAAAAAACCGACGTAGAGGAAAAGCTGACTTGTGCCAAGCTAAGGTGAGTCAGTGACATGAACTTATAATACCAGTTATGAAAGCCGAGGGCGTGGGCCCCAGCTACCTGACTGTACGGGCCCTACATCTATAGAGCCACGGAACGAGCCAGAGTTGAAGTATTTCCAAAGTTCAAGATTTATGCTCTCGTTTGAAAGAGTTTTCACATGAACGCCAAAGAGATAGGCAGTTCTTTATGAAGACCTGGCTGTGGTCCAGCTAAGCTAGAATCTCCCACTTCCTGTTTGCTCCCCGTTGGCAGACCAGCTGGGTGAGTGCCAAGTATCTGAACTAATTTCTAATGGGATAATTTGGGCAAGAAGGAGGAAGATTGGTTTCCTTCCGGACTTTCAAAAGTATGAGAATGTGTTTCTTGACATTGGAAACTAAAAGTATATTTCAGAATATTCACTTAGGGCAGGCTGAGTTAGTCACTTCATTTCTCTGATTTTTTTTTTGCACAAGGTCACAGGGAATTGTCAGGGATTCTACCCATATCATAAGGACCCCAAGAGATGTATTTCATGTGAATGACTGCTAGAAGTCAGTAGGATTGCTGCGAGTCTGGCATTACTTTGTGGTGAATTTAAGTGGAGAAAAAGAATGGGAAAATTTGCAGAGATCATTGAGTAAGTTTATAAAAATGAAATCCCGATCTTCAGAGATTTCAGAGTCTTTAAAGTGGCAGTCTCAGTTGTATTGTTTGAGAGTAGTTCGTTATACTGTGAAAAAAAAAATAGTATTTTTAAGCTTCTGAAGACTTATTTGAGGGAAATACATGTTCATTCCTAAACCTTTGCAATGGCTGGGTCTGAGCTAGGTAGAAGCAGGAGCTGGGACGTCAACCCAGGTCTTCTACATGGGTGACAGGTACCCAACTACCTGAGCCATCGCTTTTACCTCCCAGTCTGCATTAGCAGGAAGCTGGATTAGAAGCCAAAGCCTGGAACTGAATCCAGGTACTTCAGTGTGGGATGTGAGTGTCATAACCAGCAACTGTAAACTGCTAGGCCAAATGGCTACCCCTGAAGACTGGTTTATTGTAGTAATGTCCTTTTTTTTTTTTTTTAAGATTTTATTTATTTACTTGAAAGGTAGAGTTGCAGAGAGAAACTCTTCCATCCACTGGTTCACTCCCGGAAATGGCTACAATGGCCAGGGCTGGTCTAGGCTGAAGCTGGGAGCCTAGAACTCCATCTGTGTCTCCCATGTGGGTAGCAGAGACCCAAGTACTTGGGCTGTCATTCACTGCTTTTCTAGGCATGTTAGCAGGGAGCTGAATCAGAACTTTGATATGGGATGCAGGCTTAACCTGCACCAGAACACCTGTACCCTATTATATTAATTTCTTCTTCTTTTTTTTTTTTAAAGATTTCTTATTTATTTGAAAGCGTTACAGAGAGAGATAGAGTCAGAGAGAAAGAAAGGTCTTTTATCCGTTTGTTCACTCTCCAAATGGCCACAACGGCCTGAGCTGGGCGGATCCAAAGCCCGGAGCCAGGAGGTTCTTCCGGGTCTCCCAGGTGGGTGCAGGGGCCCAAGACTTGGGCCATTTTCCACGGCCTTCCCAGGCCATAGCAGAGAGCTGGATCAGAAGAGGAGCAGCCAGGACTCTAACTGGCGCCCATAAGGGTTGCCGGTGCTGCATGCCAGGGCTTTAACCTGCCTCAATACAGCGCCAGCCCCTATTGTATTAATTTCTATACTTGAAAAATGTTTTCAAAGAATTTGCACACAGATTTTATCTGATCCTTACAATAACATTGTGAGACAGGCAAAGCAAAGAGATTAGATCTATTTTACAGATTAGAGAGCTGAAGCTCTGGACTTAACTGACTTGCTCACAGTTACATGGCTAGTATTGTCCCAGAGCTGTGTGTGGAACAGAGGGCTTCCCACCCCTTGTGCCACCTCCCCCTCTGACACTGGAAACTTCTGGGCCTTAATCTTGTTCATCTCTTATCTCCTATTCCTAGAATAGAATCTGGCTCTTTGTAGCTGCAGATTAAACATTTGCTGGTGAATGTGCTTAAGAGCTGGCGTTTTCAGTATAATTAATATCTATCTTCAGACCACTTATACTGTTTTTCATAGTGATGAAAACAAACCAATTCAACATAACAATCCGTCAGTAAACAAAATCCTTGAATAAAAACAATGGCCAGAATAGATATTTGATTAAGGAATTGTTCACTTCTTAGGTGCGATGATGGCATGGTAGTTTAGTTTTGTTTATTCTTATCTTTTAGAAGGTGATACTCAGGCCGGCCCCGCGGCTCACTAGGCTAATCCTCCACCTTGCGGCGCTGGCACACCGGGTTCTAGTTCCAGTTGGGGCGCCAGACTCTGTCCCGGTTGCCCCTCTTCCAGGCCAGCTCTCTGCTGTGGCCAGGGAGTGCAGTGGAGGATGGCCCAAGTCCTTGGGCCCTGCACCCCATGGGAGACCAGGAGAAGCACCTGGCTCCTGCCATCGGATCAGCGCGGTGCGCCGGTCACAGCGCACTGGCCGCGGCGGCCATTGGAGGGTGAACCAATGGCAAAGGAAGACCTTTCTCTCTGTCTCTCTCTCTCTCGCTGTCCACTCTGCCTGTCCAAAAAAAAAAAAAAGGGGGGGGGGGCTTTGGGTTGATCGTGTGTTACTCTTTACTTTGATGCATGTTTGAAATTCCCCATTTAAAAAAATTCAGACTACAAAATAGCACAGTAACTTGGATGAAGGATATTGAAAGCTACTCCTGTGTAGTTTCTTGGCTGGTGTTTTGGCCATTGAATGTTTGGGTTGCTCAGTGTAGGCAAAAGCTGCTTCTCCAAGAAAAATGTAGAATGTCACAAGTCCCTGTAAGAATGTAAGTTCCCTGAGACCAGAGACCTTGTCTACTTTATCCATCTCCTTATCTCCTGCTACCAGTGACTGTTTAATTAACCAATCATTATAAAGTGCCATAAAATCCTTCTAGATTTTATAAGTGCTAAATTATTTCTATGGGTGTGGTCAAAATTTAAATATTCTGAGCAGAATTATTTCCAATGAGGAAGTACCTAATTAACTATAGGAATAATTTATTTGAAAGATAGGGAGAGACAGAGTTCTTCCATCTGCTGATTCACTCCCCAAATGGCTGCAACAGCCGGGGCTGTGCCAGGCCAAAGCTAACAGCTTCATCTGGGTCTCCCACTTGGGTGGCAGGGTCTTAAGCACTTGGGCCATCTTTTAGAATTTTAGAAACAGTCTGAGGCATTGGTGTGGCCTCCCCACCCCCACTGAGCACCATTAGCAGGGAACTGGATGGCAAGTGGAGTAGCTGGGACACAAATCAGCACCTACATGGGATGCCAGTGTCACAGGCAGCGGCTTATCTGCCACGCCATAGC